TATATCTAATTGATACTTTTAAGATTACAATGTCTGAGGACTGTGGATTCGACCCTTTCCGTACTAGTGGTGAAACATTCAATTATTATAATTTTCTATAAAGCCTGGCAGCGTCCGTAGATATTGATTTGCATGAATGACAAACCTGTGATTAGATTAAAACTTGTATTTTCAATAGCTCGGAGGTGATATATCTTAACTAAAATACGACTTCAACTTCAACCCTTGTCATTTATTTCAACTCATATAAACATTTATATTTCCATTAATATCTGTTGATTTAGCCTCCCTAACCCCAAGACTGACGTCGATATAACAATGTAGCTTCAAAACCGACACAAGTTCACCGTTTCATTTCTTTAATATCATTATATTTTACTTTATCACTGTAAGTAAACTTCCTACGCAGACATAACATTCTGCAGAAGCTTCGACATTTAATTTAAAATTTTAGAAACATTCTCACCTTATAGATTGAAAAACGTCTGAAATTCGATGATTCGATAAATTTCATCTTTAACATATCTTAAATTTGGATTGATTTTTTGGATTTTTTTCTCTGTATGTTTAGGATCATACAACCGGCATTATTTTGAGCCAATATCCACATAGTTTTCAAATATTTTGAATTAACGTATTGTAAACAAGAAATGTGATTTGATGTTACGTAGTAATGTATCAGTCCAGGGTTGTTATAGTACATCCCCTTTTTAACTGGGCATCAAGTTTAAGTAAAGGGCTGGCATAGAATTCGTGACAAAATATCTAACGAGTAGGAAATAATGTTATATTTGCTGTTTATAACACACAATGTTTCATAAAAATTCTTTTAAGACTGGAGGCTTTCACATTTTACTTCTCAATCTTTATCGCGAGTGACGTAATTGTAACTTTTCTTTAGAATTGCGAAACGTGAGTTAACTTGGAAAGTAGATTGTCTAATATCTCGAGGGAAGATGAGATCAAATGCGGTTTGAAAGCTTTAGTCGAAGTCATTAGTCGAAACGATGAGTAACAATACTATTAGTCGTGTTTTATAGTGCATTAATCTGATTGTACATCCTCTTTATATAGAGATTCTTTAAGATTATTTTATTTCAACTTAACATATACTTATATATAATATAAATATAACTTTTGGTAAGATCTCTAATCCAGTTTAAGACCAAAACCAAATGTAGTTTAAATAGAAACTATGAAAACAAGCTCAGTGCTGGCACCTGCTACGGACAGTTAACATTTTGTAATCACTATGAAGCACGGAAAAGATTAAGCTTTTGAAACTGCAGAAACTTGTTGGATAGTTATGCATGAGGGTAAGCTATGTTTTAAAAGCGTTACCATTCCTCGAGTCAAAATCAAAATTAAAAACGTGCGTCATATTTACAATAGAAATGTCGATTCTCATTAGATGAAAATGATTACAGTTCTGTTAACAAGTTTGTCTGTAATCCACATTTTGATAGTTCGGCTGCTAAATACAGTAGGCCTACCTTGAGCTCAAAATTTAGTTTTTCCTTACTGCTTAAATATTTCTATTAAAAACGGAAACGGATTTGTATCATATAACAGGTCTTCAAATCCCTGAATGAAGTTCAGCAAACATTCGATGCTCAAGTTGTGTTCTTTTTTTTCACAAGAACAAATTTAGATTTCGTCTTATTTTGAGAAAAGTGGGAACATAATAAACATGAAAATATTGAGTCATCGCTTTTTCTACTTTTTTACTTTTATAAATGGATAAATTATAGTCAAGTCCACCATCTGGTATATCATAGAACTGGTAAGATATACACCAAAATATTCCCGTGTCAGTCCAACTGAAATGATTTGTTGGATATCGGTCTATTTCGTGAAACTAAAGAAGACTTTTTCATTACCAGGCAAGTTAAGGGAAAAGTTTATTCATTGATTGTTGACTAAATGTTGGGAAAGTCCCCGAGGTAATTACACCATTTCGTCTAGCCAATTAGTTATAAGCCAACTTCACATTCCTACTATTTTGATGACCCTTTCACACGATACATTTCTTATATATCAAACTAATAAGTCCACTCAGAATAGAAACTTCTGTATAACAATTATACTTATTAACATTCGCACATATTTCTAAATATACATTCACATAATTGCATTTTGAATGACGTACATTTTGAAGTAAGTTCCTGTCTTGCATTTTAATTACCATTTGTAATAATTGTTTTATGTGGAAACCGTAAAGGTGTTAGTGAAACTAATTTATACTTCAAGAAAAATTAGTTTTCTCGGGTAGTATAGTGTTTTATTACTCTTCCTTCTTTTATCAATGTCTGTAACTTCAAGTTTAGAAGGTGAAATGTGGACAGAAATAGATCATACACTAGATCAGTCAGTGAATAATTGATCAAATTCATGCTATTTTATCTCAACGGTTATGTAGAGAATAGCCAGTTTGTTTGGATTATGGATTCCTAAAAACTTTCAACTTACTTAAAATCTTGAGAACAAAATGTTTATGAATATCTGTAAGTGTATTCGATAACCTGTATTATCGCTTGTTTTAGTATTTGGTAATTCTCTTTCTGTGATCATACCAATGGTAATTCTCTTTCTGTGACCATACCAATAGAAAATACTTAATTACTATAACTAATTGAAGTCCAGCTAGAATGGTAATGTTTTCAGTAAGAGTCTAATAAAGGAAAGAAAGTAATGGTTAATACCTTGAATATTGTCTCCAAGTCGAAGATTATAATTAAAAGGGATCAGCATCAATTATTTCTTATTGTTCGTGACAAAATAATACACCAAGGTTTAATTAAACAGGATAAATAAGAGATCATATAGAGTTATTTATGATTAGTTCATTAGTCTGAAAATGAAACCGCTTTTTGACATGTCGAGCCAATGAACATAGGGCTACACCTTAAATAATGGGCACAATGAAGACAATTTTGCCAGACATCTGAGATATCTCGAACAGTCTCTCTTTATATTTAGGCGCATTCATGAAGAAAAAGTTTCAGAAGAAAGGTTTGGAAATTCTGATGGAACGTCATGTCAAATAGATAGGAAGATAACTTTTTTCAATCTTAATGCAACAATATTTTATATTTCTTATCAAGAAAATACTTTATGTATATTCACAATGCAAGTCTACATACTATTTACATAGATTTCGTCACATGTTGAATTATTTATATATTTTTAATTCTCTAAGATTGTATTTGTAAAACCTTGGGGTTCGAGAAAATGTTAAATTTATGTCTCGGATCAGTTTCTTGTCGTCAGCCATTTTAGGAAGCCCTTAGATCTGGTTTCAACAGTAATAGATCTCATCTTGGATGGCTGGTTAGAAGATGACAAGTTAATGCCCACTTCCAGCTCACCGTTAGCACAAACTGTACATCAAGAGTAAAATAAGGGCTTAAATGTATCATTAGTTCATCTTAATTCACTAATGCCATGCAACTTGAAGTAGGTCATGGTTTTTTACGACATCAATTTCAAACTGTAGTATTCTACGACCATTATATGAGTTAATGTGGTGTTAATACCCCATTATCTACCACCAAATAAACTAGGCTAGACTATTACAACCTTCCTATCATTACTTCCATTTAATAACCAACATAAAAATAGGAAGGTCTACCTTTCTAATTTGCTAAATCTACATTATCATATGAGTTTGTCTGATTGAAGGACATCCTGACCTTTGATTCGCCATTATTGACCGGAATTCATTCTGGAATCGACCTCAGAAAAAGATTGCTTTGGCCCCACTGTCATAATATGTATAAATAATACCATAAGATAATCGTGAAACACAAAAGCTCCAAAACCAGATCGTATTTCGAAATAACGCCTCTTCTTGGATTAGGATTGCTGTTATTTTTGGAAGACCTGTCATTTGATAGAGATCATTTTAGCACCAATTATACCGTTGAAATGAGGAAAAGATGCGAAACTTTAAGTATATCATCCTCGTGGTGTCGGTATTGCGACAGACTTGATTTAATTTAGGAACTTTTCAGAATCAACTGGAAGAAAACATGTAATCCCAATAGTCTCTTTTCCCGTCCAATCTCTAAACTTAAAGCTAGCAATAGAATACACTTAATTGTGTTTTGATGTTAAAACAGAAATACCATAAAAACATTACCAGTGCAATGTCCAAATATTAAAGTGTCATACAAAAACACTTTTGGCCTACATATTTCCCTTGACACTTCCAGATCCGACGCAACATTTAATACAATAATTCTATTGAAATTGAATTGTAACAACATTTGGACAATTTAAAAGGCTAATAGCTCGTCTGTGGTCATGATACCTTAAATATAAACGTCTGATATCAAATATAACAAATTTACTTCAGTGTTTCAAAAAGTCTTAACTTGCATCTGGCTTGTGTTTCCAGGTTATATGACAAGATCTCAATTGATACAACTACAAAACTTTTAAAACATTAAACTTATTGTATACGATTGATTAGCTGACGAAGTAGATCTTAAATAAGAAATATACAGGAGATAATGAAACAGAATCTATTTCTTTCTGATAAATTTCTCGTATCAACACATCAATTTTCTAATAAAAATTCCGTTCGTTTAGAAAATTATATTGTGTAGGCGAACACGCAAAATATAAAATCTTTGAAATCGACATTTTATTATTTTATCATCCACATTCTTATACGACATATATAGTCCAATATTTTAATACTTAAATACAAGTAGTTTCGAAATTGACAAAATCCCGAATTTCAATCTAAACATTAAAAACTATTATGAGTTCATGTTTGATTCACTAGCACATTTAAGAAATTTAACACAGAAATATATATTCCCTACACATCTGTATGTTCTGCCTCTTTTGTGAATAATAACTCAACTTTTAAGGGATACATAATTTTTGAATGACGCATCCCCACGATTGAAAATCACGTGTGTCAGTCATGTATTAAATAATAATAATGATAATAATAATCGAACATCTGCATTCTTATCTTATAAATTTCAGATTATGAGCACATCTCATCTAAAGAAAAACAGTTGATCAAGAAGTTATTAGATCGTTATGAATTACATGGAAAAGAAGGTCGGCCAGTGGTTAATACATCCGATAGCATAAGTGTTAGATTCGGATTGTCTTTGATACAAATTTTAGATGTGGATGAAAAGAACCAAGTTTTGAAGACCAATGTTTGGTATAATTATGTATGTACAGTATATATTTCAAAATGCCATCAACATTCATTAGAATTGCTTGTTTATTCTCGTATAATGTATAAGGATTTGTTTTAAAGACCAAATGTATTCCTTGATTTCTAAAATGCATTTGGGATGACAACGACTTCAATGTTTTGTGGTATTTTTATGCCATGCATACAAAATATATTATTAAGTAACAGAGTCTTATCTGTTTGTGAAAAATGCCATTTTTTTATATTCATTTTAATGGGTTTCAAAGACCATGTAACGCATATTCTTATCATTTACTAATGCTATTTGTTGTATATATTACAGCAATGGAAAGATGTATTATTAACATGGCAGAAAGAAGACTATGATAATATCACGGATATTCGTATTCCATCTTCTAAAATATGGCTACCCGATATCCTACTATATAATTTGTAAGTCATACAGAAATGAAAATATATTTTCCTTCCAGACACTTATTTCTACGCCTACATTATAACGCCGTTATTGTCCTTGACTAAATAAAACGCCCCAAAATTTGTTTGAGAACACAATAAAGACTACAGTTTTCATCCGATTTAAATGAATTCGGTGTTATCATTTATAATGTTGATATCTTGATCAAGTTAGATGTAGACGATTTTTTAATAAACGTTTTTTTAGTCAAAATGTATTCATGAACACAATAGAGACTACAGTTTTTATATATAGTATATTGTATATAGTTGTCACCCTTGTCTGTCTATCCACAATTGTTGTTGAGACGATAGAGAGCTGGTTTCAATTTGGTGGGAATGTTTGTTACTTAAGGATAAGTTGAATTCAGACAAATCGAAAAATATTTAATGAGTTATTGCCCTTGTTCTTGAAAATTTGTTGTGGACGCAAAATAGAGCTGGTTTCATAGTGAATTTTGATCAAATTTGGTATGAATATTTGTTATCATTTAAGGATGAACCCCGTTAAATTAATATTAGTTATTTTATATTAGTTATTGTTCTTGAAAACGCGTTCAATATTTATTTGAAATGTGTTTTGGACATGATAGAGAACTGGTTTCTTGATGGATTTTGATAAAATTTGATGTGAATGTTTTTTATTACTTAAAAATGATATGAGTTATTGCCCTTGTTCTTGAAAACGTGTTCAATTTTTAACTTGTGAGAAAGGTCCAGGTCACAATTCTTAACAGATTTAGACGAAAAGTTTTGAAACTGTTTATCATTTCCCAATGATGTGTCCTATAGATATTCAAAAAATCTATAAAAAAAAGTATTTTTTTGAGTTATTGCCCTTGATCTCGAAATCTTAGTGGAATCACCCAAGGATTAACCCTATTAAAAAGCAAAAAATCGAAAATATTTAATATGGGTTATTATTAAAAAAAACATGTTCGATATTATATATAGACACAGCTTTATGGAAAAACAATATATATATAATTTATATACATTAATACTTATTTAAATTCATTAGCCCACAAGGTGCTGAAAAGTAGGAGGTAAATCATTTCATTTCATTTGCTTATTTAAAGAGTGAGGGCAAACTTTTAAAAACATGTAGTAATTTATTAAGCATTAATGTATAGTTTTCCCATTACCTCTTATCGATGATTATGTGCCTGAGGACGACGGGGGAAACATTTCGAAACGTTGCATAAAACTTTAGTATTTAATATAGCCATTGTTAACCGGGCGGCTTGGATGCCATTACAATTGTGGGCGTATTACAATGGTCATCGCTATTTTTATATGATTTAATGACACACTTAATTTATGTTAGATATGGCTCGTGAACGAAGAGTAGATTACAGTTCGAGTCGGAATTTTATGAAATTTTGTGTGATGGTTTAAATCAACAATATCTTGGATAATTTAGATTTTTGGTTCTATTTGACACAGATTGGTGACCGCCCTTGATATACTGAAAATTTGTTAGGAAGTGGGCGTATCTTGCGTGGCAACCTCTTGTATTACTATGCTATTAATCTTTATAAAAGCAATATGTATTACATTTTGATTCCGTAATTATTTACATACAAATTAGTATAGGATTACCAAAATATGATGTCATAGTTCTTTGCAACTATCCGTATCCGTGAGATTTTGATTGCTGTCTTTTTGTGAAATATCGCTTTCAACGTTTTTATACCTTCATAGTATCAATAAAATTCTGTGTCGGGACTTCTTCTGAATTTTCTTATAGAAAACACTGTAGATTTTCTTTTCTGTAGCTCGTCAAAGTTTGAATTTTCCGATTTTTCCAAATTATTGTGAAATCTCAATAAAGAAGCTCTTAATTTAGTGGGCATTATGTGTGAAATTGGTTCAAAGAGGTAAAAAGTTAGTTAATGTGTTTGTTAGAGAGAGAGGTCGTAGACGGATAAAGGTGGAAATTGAGAGAGTTTATGATGAAATAATATTATTTTCCCTACTTTATACTCATTACAACTACTTTAACATAACACAAGTTCTAGACTAATTTTATTTTCTTCACTAATAGACATAGCGTGAACAGACATTCTTGAACTAGACTTCTTGAAGCGAACAGCACGGTACAGAAATCCTTTCTTTTTACTTCATTACAATGCTAGTTATTGTTTTTTTTAAATATAATGATCAATGGACGTGTCTCAACCCAAATACATATAATTAATATTGTCGGACTGGATTTTTTTAAAAAATAAAAGAAATATTTGAATACTGCATATAAAACATATAATACCAGTTACATTTAATACATACCAGTTTCAGTATTTTCCAAATTTAACGACAAGCTCTGAAAATGTCTACTAGCTGACTAATAAAAATCCGTACAAGCACGACAATTCCGTTAATCAAAATCTCGTCCAAAAGAATAAAAGTTGTATGTTGGTGGACTCCTTCAAGGAGAAGTAATATCGGATGGTTTAAAAAGAGTTGGTATGGTCCAAACAAATCAGTCAAAATGTAAGAAACTGATAATAATTATTTGTCCAAAAGTTCGTTATAAAATTTCCTAAATGAAATATATGCGTGTCAAGTAACCCTGCTTCGGCCTGGATTCCAATTGCAAGTCTCTCGAATCCTTGGTAAATGTTTCATATCAGTGAAATGAGGATTTAATAGTAATTGGGACAAAACAAATAATTTGGTTCTGGAATAATGATATTTGAATATAAATTTGGTAATAATATTAAAGTTTGTAGTTAGGTTTAGAATCAAAGAGTAAAGTTAAGTCTGAACGTGAGATGTAAGAATTTATCCAAAGATTAAAAGAAGCGAATGACGACGTAGCTTAATCCCCGTCTAATACCTACTTTACTAATATCTTTTTGTCAACAATATCATGTTCAGTTTACTATAGTTCCACATTATTAAGGACGCAATTGAGAGTAGTTGTGATAAGAGGTATTTAAAACACCAATGTTAAAAGAACAAAGGATATTCATAAAATGGGGTTAACCACAAACCACGTCAATGCAGGTATCGATGCTAACAAAAACAATAGATCAGGCACCATCAAATTTACCCACTAAAATATAAATCGCAGACAACTGAGCTCTCGAAATCTAAACATCAATCTTTCTATTTTTAAACCTAAAGTAAAATTTCTTTTCTTGTGTAAAATCATAGCAAATATAAGTGAAAGATTGAACATTATAAGGCTATTAAAAGTGGTTTGACCGTGTAAATATCAGTTTTCCGTAATTCACAAGTTAGACTGGTTTGTTGACGCTCTTATTTCTCGTCCAGACAAGAAGCGTGACTAAACAACTGATTAATAATATTGGACAAATGAAATAGGCTTGGCCCATCTTTTCCAAATCACGTAGAGGGCCACCATGAGTGTCAGAGGTCGGTGATTTTAATTATTGCATAGTAAGGATAAGTGCAAATTAGAATATTTTGATGTTTTTAAATAAAACAGCATCTTTTGAAATGAATACTTTTGTAGGATGATGTTGGTCTTTCATTTTTAATAATATGTTTGAAACCAAGCAGAACGTGTTCTTTGCAAAAACAAAGTAAACAAAATAAACTTTATTACTTGTACATTTCAGTGCCGACGATAGATTGAAGGAACAGCGAGATGCTCTGGTGGTGGTACAGAACAGTGGTGATTTATTATGGATGCCTCAAGCTATACTGAGAAGTTCCTGTTCTTTCGATACTCTTTACTTTCCATTTGATGAACAACGGTGTATTTTAAAGTTTGGATCCTGGACATACAATGGTTTGAGACTAGATATGCACTTTTTAGATGATACTCAAAAAGAAATGGACCTTCTAGAATATATAGATAACAAAGAATGGAGTATAGTTGAAAATGTTGCCATAAGAAATGTAAAATACTATTTATGCTGTCCCGAACCTTACCCGGATCTTACATTTACACTCCGGATAAAACGAAGAGTCGCTTTTTATACTTTTATATTAATTATGCCATGTGCTCTGCTCAGTTTATTAACATTGGTTATATTTTGGGTACCACCAGAATCTCCTGCTAAATTGATACTTGGTAAGTTTTGGTACATTTCTTTTGCCACATTCCTTTTATAGCCACCTTATAACTTACCGAAGAACTATTGCTAAGTTTAATATATCTATGTTGTCGTGTTAACAAGATAAAACGAATAGTGGTTCCACCCATGCCCTAAAAAAGGTGGGAAATTAAAATCTACATCTTCAGTGATTTTTGTTTTTTTTTGTTTCCATTATTATAAAATTTCATTCATTTCCGAGACTGATAGTTACTGCATTCAACACGTCATCATCTTCATGACATATTGGCTATTTAGATATTGAAACAAAACTGTAGAATTAATGATAGTTGAATGGTTCGTATTTGTTTAATTCAGCTAACGATATACAGAATCGATAAAACTGGACTCGATTATTGAATATGGCAGTCTTGATGGTTTAATGGCCTTCAACCGCCGTTGGACCAAATTAAATATTCCTCTCAGACCTTTTAATGTAAGAATAAAAACCTAGAAAGTTCAGGATGTCACGATTGATTTGATGAAAATTAAAAACAATTGTGATAAACTCAGCAAATTTCCCAAGAATCATGCGTTGACTTGGGAGATTTTCCGTCTTAAACACACGTTATTTATTTGCCTTAGAGGAAATATAATTAGAAGTTTTTATATTGGATAACGTCAATGTTTTGACACCAATGAGCCAACAAGACATAAAAATCCCTCCCCACTTATTGATATGGCGTTCTGGGGAGATCTCAGAGGATTTGGAGATGGTTGAATTATATTTCAATGACTCGACTTTCACCAGGAATTATAGATGTCTTTCTTCAAGCTAGAAAACTTAACACAATTATAAACATAATTACTCTTAATGGGGCTTCTGTGGCGAGGATTCTTCGTTTCAAAAGACTTAGTGTTCTTCAAATTAAAGCAATGAGCAACAAATGACTCCAAGTGTGAAATTTGAATTCTACTGGGTTCTAAGCCAACGAGAGTTAGTCTAAATTTATTACTCCTTATCTTGGCTAGAGCAATCAAGCCGAAAACCAAGTATTGGTGATTATTTGTTCAATGATTGCTGAACTTTACTTTAAATTTTAGATTCACACTAGTAATATAATTTATTTGTTTCAAACTCAAATCAGCATTCAACTTGTAGCTTATATTTCTCAATCTCAGTCTGTAAATGTTAACATTGATTCGGTATAGATTGAATTACGTTGTGTCTAGATCATGCGTTTCTAACATTTACCAATCATTAGTGGCTGAAAATACCTATTAATCGTGTGATGTTGACCTTGTTAAACATCCATTTTTTTGACTTCAAACCGAAGTTCCTTTTTCTCCAGATTTGTTGCTTAAAGTAATGTCATCATGTGATAAAACATTTGACATTTCTTAACGAGGTGTCTCAAAAGGCGTAATGAATCTGCTCAAAATATTAAATAACAATTTTTGACTGTAATTCTAGCATATACTTTGATGAATTTCAGGTATGAATATTTTCCTCGCCTTTTTCGTCTTGTTATTATTACTGGCAGAGTCTACCCCGAAGGCGGCTGCTTCTATACCCCTCATAGGTGAGCTTTATGAAATTCGGTTTCTTTTGTCCGTTAAAGACACATATCCATATAGAAATAAATCAAACTAATTTTAGTATGCATTATGTACCAGTGCAAGTCTTTGTCCTCTAAGTATATCAGAGTATATATCGGATGCATTGAGGATTCGAAGCACCAGTAATGAGAAGTACTAGGTTGCAAACAAGTTTCATTTACAAAATCTCTTTCAGGTGCATATTTTTGTCTGAGTATGGTGATGATTACGCTATCAACAGTATTGTCTTGTGTTGTTGCCAATATGTTTTTTCGTGGTGTTCGCATCAATAGAGCTCCTCGCTTTCTTAGATCTGTAAGTATTTACATCATTTGCGGTCAAGTCAAAATGAACGTCAGATTGATGCTATTTTTTGTATTGATTTAAACAAATATCAGATATTGCTTAAAATTAGCTTTGCCATCTGTTGCAAACTTACCAAAATATCTTTGTTAACTTCAACAATGTTAATTACTTTGTATTTCAGATTGTTATTGACTGTTTCGCAAGAGCACTTTGTCTTCGTGATAAAATAGTTGAACCCGATTATAACCCACTTACTCCAAAGAAAACTGGCCGGGTTGTTGGTGAGGCTCGTGGACAATATCCATACAGAGATATCCGGTTTGGACAAGTTCGTTTACTAGATAATGGAACAGATAAAGATACTTCAACAGAAAATAGTTTTGGATTCAGTAATCCAAATGGAGAAGAACAATTTAACTTTAATAGATATTATGGGCCAGTATTAGAAGAAGTCAGGGCAATAAGAGAAATGTTAGAAAAAGTACGAGAAAAGAAAGCGAAGGCTGAAGAAAAAGAGAAATATGTAAGAGAGTGGAGAGTCATTGCTTGTGTAACAGATCGTGTCATATTTATATTTTATCTACTTGTTAATACAGTCGGACTAATATGTATTTTCTTGAAACCCTATCTCGATAACGAGGAGTTGAGAAAGGCTGCTGCTAAAGCTGCATCTGCAGCAGTTATTGAAGCAGCTGGTGGTGGTGAAGATACTGCTGGCGAATAAAGTCAGTAAATAGCACGTGAAGACTGTTTAAACTGTGATTGAGTGAACTTAGTGTTATGTTCATGTCTTTGCAAAATAAATGCTTCAGTCTGACTGTTGCATAATTCATTGATTCAACGATATTATTACTGGATAGTGTAAATAGGCAGATTGCTATGTTAATCTGGCAAAATGTTGGCATGGTGGCAAATCATTTTATGAAACTGGAAAACTGTAAATATAGTGTTTAAGTCAGCGAAACTTACATCTGATTATTCGAAGAATTTATTGTGTGTCTTGTTGTGAACTTATTATAACTTGTGGGCATCGTTTCACTTACTGCTATGCATCCTCAATACTGCGAAATCCATTACAACCATAACGGGTGAGATTCGCTTTATGAGTGAATTGTTTTGGATTTATATAGAACTTTCATCGATATTTTTACTTGATTGATCACACGTATACTAATTTCTTCAAATCATTCATCATGCTTTCGTTTTGAATTGTGTATGTACTTCCTCATAAAAAAACTACTTTGTCCCTTAAAATACACTTATGCTGCCAACCTATATGTTTGTTCAGGTCATTTATCGAAAATCAATTATATCGAACCCATTTGAAAAAGAAATAGAAACGAAGACGACATTAAAATGTCATCGATCTGTGCACGTATAGCTCATCTGGGTCGGATTCACAATAACCTCAACAAAACTTAACGCCACATGAACGGTCAATCATAAATAGACAGAGTTTTTGTGAATAGGATCGATGTTTTAAAATATGAACAGTATTCTTTTTTATCATGCTTTTCAATTGTCAGATTATATATTCATCCTTGCTGTATATATAAATAGGCTTTCTCCATTGTTTTGAAATTGTCTTGTTTTTAGAAAACATTTTGCGTTCATTTGTCTCGCACAATTTGAAAATTGGAAGGATTTTACCATTTCTGCACAAGGTAGATAAAGGCGCCATCATCGTTGTGGCGATTATGTTGTTTATTTTGTTCTTTATTCTTGAATTCACATTCGAGGTTCGGAAGTCAAATTTACGTTTCGAATTCCTTCACAGTATATAGAGAGGATGTAATAAATAGTTACAATTTTCCCTAAATAGATACAGAGGTTACCTAGAGATATCATAGATTTAAGACCAACCCCTTCTACATGGATTATTAGTAATGTTTAAAATATATGTTTGTCTGAAACTTTGATGATATCTGAATGAGATTATTCCAATGATCATAGTGATCACGTTTTTGTCGGATATATGTGCATACGTTATGTACTTAAATACAATCTAGGAAATGTTTAAACTTCTCTAACAAAATTCTTTATCATATATTTAGAGGTTCATCATTTTAGCTTGACATGTATTCCAATCTCTAAACCGGTTTAAAAATAGTTAAATTAAAGTGATATTAAAGTTTCTCTAGAATGTTGTATTTACGTTAAGATGTAAATATTATATATAAATATATATACTGTATATCATGATATTATATTGTATGGGGAGCATCACAAGTTAAAATAATTGCGGGTGAATGTAGATATGTTTTGCTTTTCCCCATTCATCTTAATTTTGTGTATTTCTAAGTATTTATTATTTCATTATATCGGTGATAAACGTTCTGATTAATTATGTTAAGTAAATGCTGTGAGGTAATCTAGTTCATCTAAACAAAATATGATTTCAAGATCCCCATTAGGTCGAAATTGCTTTAATCATTATTGCATCCAGCCAATGCACGTGGTTAGAAATATAGTTAACATGTATGAGATAAAATATTCACTATTATTGTAATTTATTCATTCACAATTTATTTGTTTTATGTATAAAGATTTGGTGTGTAGGCTTAAGGTATTGAGACCTAAAAGAAACTAGGAAAATTATTAAAAATCATTTAGATTTGTACTTATATTACATATGACACATTACCACGAATTCCAGCAACAAATCAAAATATAGTTTTATTTTGTTATTCCTTTTTTAAAATTCTCCTATATCTACCAAACTATGTACTTTGTTCCATAGTTTTTATACGCCCACATTTCTCTATGTAAAAGTAAATAGTCGGCACCCAGGTCAATCCTTCAATCCGGTATCATTTTCTGGTAAAAGATGGTCTATTTTCTCCCCGATTTTGATTAAATTTTGTAAAAGTATACATAAACCTAAATAGACCTGAAAATCTAGTTCGAATTTGAACGCTTTCAGACATGCATTAATCACATACGAACGAATCGAGCCAAAATAATGGTTCTACTACAGTTACTGAGCGTCCGAAATTTACTTGAATAGCCTAGATGATAAATAGATTGAATAAAATTAAGATTTACTTGAATAGATGAATAATATATTAGTAGAAGTTGTTATTGTTATTAGAAAATCTTATGATCTGTAAAAAAGGCTTATAGACTTGTTATTAATGATTATTGTTATTATGTTATGATTTGTAAATGAATTCTTCATACAATAAACACAGAGCTAAATCGTACTACATTTATAGTGTTTTAATATAAGTAAGTTATATACGTCCCAACAAATGACAACTGAGAGTCCTATTGTGACACAAAAATAGAAACATCAAAAAATTAAACAAATTTTGTTCAAGAAAATTCTCTTGTGACCACAAAACGCAACGCAATTCAGACCTCTGTTACAACATGTAAGTGTACATCAACCAGCTAACTATTGTCCATTTACCATGTATAAAAATAATAATTACAATCATATGGATAAAATGATCAATGATTGATTGAATTGGACCTTAAAAATCTCATCCTACATTAAATTTACTCTCCTGAATAGTTTTTGTTGTGTACAATATATACATTTATCTTAAGCCAAAGAACTTAACACTTTTCCATGCCTCTCTGATCTGCTTTGGAAACAGAGGGAAACCGAATTGAAAAATCAAAAAGATACTTTCTCAGCCTATGTTCGACGGAGTAATTTTGGATTAACAAAAGAGTCTTGTTTATCAGCTTGTTTTGAAGGTTTCAAATGTCGTCACTCACATCATACCCATCTTTTTTTAAAAACCTATACAATTTGCTTTCTGTTTGGTGAATTTACTAAGATGCCTTACGTGTTATTTGTCTTTATATATAAGATACAACGTATCATGTAAATGTCTTCGGGAATAAATAGGCCTATAACTTGTACTAGTGAATCTTTAAACACTGTAGATGATCTTTGTATCACCTTATTTTATGGTAATTTCTTTTTCCTAAACATTATGAATTATTGATTTTCATAATGTAATAAACCTGCGACTGTTAAATCATTCCATGAAAAACTAATCTGGAATGTTTGCAACTATGTATGAATTTCAATAAGCAATGAAGTTTTTTAAATCCAATGATAAGCGAAAAGTTTTATGGAAATGTGAAAAATATGAATTCACTCAATTACCGATTTCTAATACGAAACTTCGCATCTTGCCTAGCTCCGTATAGTCGCAGATTTAGACACGAACCTAATCACAAGCCATCTTGTCCAAGGCTACAGCTTGAATGATAAAATATGCATCAAATTAAATATTATAACGTCTGAATGATATCAATAAATTCTCAAATGCTCAAAATATTCCCAATTTTAACCGTGTGTATTTACTGAAGAAGTTGCAATACCGAACTATTTTTAAGAGTGGAAGCGTATCTGAGTTACGAAACTAGAAACCCCCCCACACACACACACGACACACAAAACAGATCATTATGGCGGAAACCTTTCTGTCTGCTGTCGAATTTAGCCAATCCAATCTTGGAATTCCAAACTTAAAACAGAAAGACAAACAACTGGAGGCATTAAAAGCTTGTTACAATGTTAAGGATTGTTTAGTTATCCTTCCAACTGGATATGACAAAAGTCTGATATATCAACTTTTGCCTTACTTGATGCAGTGTCGCCATGGAAGATCAGAGCCTATGATAGTTATTGTAGTTTGTCACTTATAACACAATAGTAAAATTCGTGCGTAAAGATCAAAGCTCGACCTTATATTTGGGCCAGAAAATTCTTTCATCATTGCAAGAAGACCATCTTCTAAATTGGCAGAGTTCAATTTAATTAAGATTTTGGCAGTAGTTTCGTTGCAAAGACAACAGGCTGGATTAATAGGTTTGAGCGGTGTGGAATCCATCTTGAATCGTCTACTTGCGGTTTGTTTACATTAAGTCTAAGTCGTTTCGCCGTGCGTAGTCTTCGGTGCTCTTCGGCTGTGAAAAGATGCACCCGTCGTTTCGTCTCACTTCCGGTATTAATGTCTGCGTGAACTATTTTAAACATGGCTGGTCAATAGGTCAGGGTAATATCTCTGATAGGTAGAATTTCTCTGTTGATCATGATGACCGATTTCTATGATTGAGAGATCTTATAAATTCTATTTTATTAAATCATCGACTTAAACTCATTCAAAACGAAAAAGAGACATTTTCTAGTGGTGAAGACAAAAATGTAAATGTAAATTTACTTTTCAATCATACTGCAAAGACAAAGTCACAAATACAGTAGTTTCCGCATACAAACCTCAATTTAACTTCTAAATATCAGGAGCTCAAATGTCTTAAAAAAGATGTGAGGAATTCGGCTAAAACTAGAATGTTTAATGACTCCTATACATATAATCTCAAGATACAATCTCAAATAACACAACAATTGAAGAACATCATTGCAAGATGTGTTCCAGCCAATGTTTCGAAGTTGTGAGGATCAACTGAGAGTGATCGCTAGACACCAATCGACCTGTCGAGAAGCAGTTGTGAAAAAGGCTTGGGACCAACGCATGCAGCAACCAATGCGTCAATTGGCGTAAAAGGAGAGCACAAAATCCCACATGAAATGTATCCACATCTTCTTACAAAAAAAACAAAAAGTATTATCTTACACAGTAGGTCCAAAAGTTTTCATCATTCATCAGATTATGGAGCAGTAACATTTTCATAATTCTTAAAGTATAATTATAATTTACATCTATTGTGTCCTGTAAAGTTATTTGTGATACCTTATATCAC